GGGAAGAGGTCGGGGCGGGAAGAGGTAGGGGTGGGAAGAGGTCGGGGTGGGAAGAGGTCGGGGAATCTCGGAGAATCTCGGAGAATCTCGGAGAATCTCGCGCCCACGGGACGACGGCGGGCGGCGGCGGCGGCAGCCCCTCGGCTGCAGCGGCGTCTGGCGGCGCATCGCCCTTCAGGCTGACCTCTTCCCAATACGCCTCGACGCTGCCTCCTCTCCGCAGCAGCAGCAGCCCCTGCAGCAGCCCTCCAGCGGTCAGCCGCGATCTCCCCAGATCTCAGCCGCGATCTCCCCAGATCAGCCGCGATCTCCCCAGATCTCGAAGCGACTGCACGAGACCGCCCCGAGCTCGCCCGAGATTCCTCGAGATCGGACCGAGATTGGACCGAGATTCCTCGAGATTGGGCCGAGATTGGACCTGCAGCAGCGCCTGCCCTCTCCGCACCGCCGCCGGCGTGCCAGTCAGGTGTAGGAGGCGGCGCCCTGTTCACAGCCGAGGGGGGGGGGGGGGGGGTTGACCCGGAAGGGGGAGCAGGGGCGGGGGGGGATTTTTGAAGGACTTCCTCGAAACCCGGGGAAACCCGGGGAATCTCGGGAAAAATCCCTCCCCAAAGTTGTCCTCGTCCCGGGGGATTTCCCCGTCACAGCCCCTCCTGCCCTTTTTACTCAAAAGAAACCCCCCCCAATCCCGGCCTTTTTTTGCCGCATTTCCCAAGGCGGGGGCCCTCCTCTGGGGCAAGGGGGAAAAGTTGGCCCCCCTTGGCCCGATGACCTTGCCGATGGCGCTCGGCGGCACAAGCACGGCATGCCTCACTATCGTGGGACACGCCCCGCCGCCCGCCGCCGCCGCCGCCGCCGCCGCCGCCGCCGCCGCCGCCGCCGCCGCCGCCGCCACCGCCTCCTCCTCCGCCACCGCCGCATCCGCCTCTACCGCCGCCGCCGCTCCCTCCTCCGCCTCCGCCGCCTGCTCCGCCGCCGCCTTCTCCTCCTCCGCCGCAGGAAGCTTCGCGGAAACTTCGCTGCCCGCCGCAGGAAGCTTCGCGGAAGGTTCGCCGCCCGCCGCAGGAAGCTTCGCGGAAGCTTCGCTGCCCGCCGCAGGAAGCTTCGCGGAAGCTTCGCTGCCCGCCGCAGGAAGCTTCGCGGAAGCTTCGCCGCGCAGCAGGGCGAGCGCGGTGGCGCCTGAAACGGGGAGATATGGGGAGATATGGGGAGATATGGGGAGATATGGGGAGATATGGCGCCTGAAACGGGGAATTGGTGATGGTATCAATTCTCAAGTGTTCGTCCCCCGATTGCCCGCCTCGCTATGCTGCGCTCTCAAAAGTATGACAACTGAAGTGTCTCGTGGATCGTCTCTGAAGCATCTCGGAACGGTCTCGGAACGGTCTCGGAACGGTCTCGGAACGGTCTCGGAACGGCCCCTCACCTTGCTCCTCGATGCTGCCGCAATGCGGCAGCTCAAGCATCGCATTCGCGCGCCTAAAAAAGGAGTCCTCCCTCGGTTTTCTTTTGCTCGTAGTGCGGCAGCTCAAGCATCGCATTCGCGCGCCTAAAAAAGGAGTCCTCCCTCGGTTTTCTTTTGCTCGTAGTGCGGCAGCTCAAGCATCGCAGTCGCGCGCCTAAAAAAGGAGTCCTCCCTCGGTTTTCTTTTGCTCGTAGTGCGGCAGCTCAAGCATCGCAGTCGCGCGCCTAAAAAAGGAGTCCCCCCTCGGTTTTCTTTTGCTCGTAGTGCGGCAGCTCAAGCATCGCATTCGCGCGCCTAAAAAAGGGAGTCCCCCCTCGGTTTTCTTTTGCTCGTAGTGCGGCAGCTCCAGCATCGCAGTCGCGCGCCTAAAAAAGGAGTCCTCCCTCGGTTTTCTTTTGCTCGTAGTGCGGCAGCTCAAGCATCGCAGTCGCGCGCCTAAAAAAGGAGTCCTCCCTCGGTTTTCTTTTGCTCGTAGTGCGGCCAGCTCAAGCATCACATTCGCACGCCTGTTACCAACGAACACACGCACACTCCTCCACCGACAACGAGGACCGCTCCAGCATCGTGTCCGCTCGCCAGACGAGCTCCTGGTCACAGCACAACGTGTGAACGGCGTCCTCTTCACACCTCGAGCCGTCCGCTCGCCAGACAAGCTCCTTCTCGTCCACGGGCGGCGCGGCCCAACTGCTGACGCCTAAAAAAGAAAAACAACGGGATATTTTTCCTCGTCGGCAGGGAGGCGCGGGAAGGCTAGCTGCTGGCGCCTAAAAAGAAATACAAAGTCGCGCATTTCTTCTTCTCGTTGGCAGGAGGCGCGGGAAGGCTAGCTGCAGGCGCCTGCAGGCGGCGGAGGAGCTGCTCCAAAGGTGTGTCTCTTGCGGGCGCTTGTGGATTGGGGGAGGGCGGTGTGGGTGCAGCTGCAGGGAGCAGCGCGTGAGGGCGGTGGCGGCACCCTTGGCGGCACATCCTAGGCGGCACCCTAGGCAGCTGCGGTGGCGGGAGTGAGGGGCGCGGCGAGGGCGGGCGGTGGTCGGGGAGAGGCAGTAGGCGGTGGAGCGTTCGTCGTTTGAGATCGGGGTGGGTGGCGTCACGGAAGGAACTCGGCGGAGACGGGGAGAGCGGCAGTGCAGCGGTGGCGGTGGCAGTGGCATAGTGTGGACCGGAACGGGGCGGCTAATGGCCATTGGAGTGCCACGGCCACGCTCCTCTGACGTCCGACCATACGGTGCGATGCGAGTGTGGTGGGAGGAGAGGAGGGGCGGACGGGGTGCGCTGGAAGCGGAGGAGTCAGGCGGCAGGCGGCCGCTGCGGGAGTGTGCGCACCGGCCGCGCGCTCGAGCGCCTCCAGCTGCTCGTTGAGGGCGGCCTGCCAGGTGTCCGCGTCGAAGGCCGAGGAACGCTGTGCCGTCGCGCAGGCGGGTGCGGCTGCGGCTCGCCCGCCGCCGCGCCGCCGGCCTGGTTTGCCTCGCGGCGAGGCCATGGCTCTCGGACTCTGGCGAGTACCTAGGTACAGCCACGCCTGCATTCACAGCACAAGCCCTCGCCGGCGGCTCGAGCATGCGCAGCGAAAAGCAAGTGAGGCGTGGTCTGTACTCGCCAGGCTCGGACTACTAACGCGCGCTGGAAAAAGAATTCTACAACCGCCGTTACCGCCGTGCCGCCGTACCGCCCACGCCGCCGCCGCCCTCCACCCCCTCCACACCGCCGCCACCGCTGCTCACGCCGCCGCCGCCCTCCACCTTGCCCACGCCGCCGCTACCCTCCACCTTCTTCCCACCGCCGCCGCCGCCGCCCACGCCTCCGCCGCCTTCCATCTCGCCCACGCCTCCTCCGCCCTCCACCTCTCCCATGCCGCCCCCCGGCCCTACAGCCCCCCCCCCCCACGATTTCTTTTCCTTGTTCTTTTCGGTTCTTGTTTTTAACACCTCTGAATTCTTTTTTCGCTGGAAGTCGACTTGGAGGTGTGGCAAGAAAGAAAGAAAGAAAACACACAACCCAAGGGAGGGATGGGAGAACGGCACGCCGCCACCACACAGGGATTTTAAGGAGAGGAGGGTGTGATGCGCTAGCCGTCGCCCACCCTGGGGAGTCTGCCTCTTCGTATCTCTTTTCGCAGTCTCTCGCCGCTTCTCGCTGCAACCTTCATGCCACCTCGCGGCCGTCCCACTCGCTGGATCTTTCGGTTCTTCCTCTTTCTTTTTTTGAGCCGGTGTGTGTGCCAGTCCGCGCCAGTCCGCGCCCTTGTCGTAGGTAGGTGCCAGTGTGCACGTTGCACAATTCTTTTTTTTAAAGTCGATCGCCTTACATTCAGATTTTCGGACGCAGATTCGGACACAAAACACAGCAAAGTGCTCAAAGTCGATGAAAGGCAGGCGAAAGCGATGGGCTGCGGCACGAGCAAGCCGGGCCTGTTTTACGAGGAGAAGCTGAAGCAGTGGCGCAAGCGCGGCGGCGGCGACCTGGAGCCGGTCCTCGCGAGCGGCGCCGTCGCCCTCCTCGACGCGCAGTGGATCATCCGCCACGCCGAGGCGGGCGGTGTCCTCACTCACCGCCAGGCGCTGCCCGAAGAGGCCTTCCTCTCTTTCGCCGACCTCGTCGAGGCGACCACGGGTGCTGGTGGGCTTCCCGTCGCCGCGCTCTCCTACCCGTGGCTGACCAAGGACCACCCCGACCCGCGCGGAGCCAACCTCTCCCGCGTCGCGAGGGCGCTCAAGGCCCTGCTCACTAACAATGACGGCAGAATCACGCGGCTCGGCGTGTTTTGGGACTTCGGCTCGCTGCACCAGCACCCCGACCCCCCCAACGGCGTCCTGCGCACCGAGGAGCAGAACGCGCTCTTCAAGCAGGGGCTGAGCTGCCTCGGCACGCTCTACTCCCACCAGCACTTGTTCGTGCTGCGGCTGACCTCCTTCCCGGACGGCCACAAGGCGGAGGACCAGCCCGAGGGCACCAACGTGGCCAAGTACGTTGACCGCGGCTGGTGCTTCACCGAGCAGTGCTGGGCTGGCTTGACAAAGGCTGGCGCCCTCTCGCTCGACCTCGGCTTGATGTGCGCCGGCAAGGAGTACGACGCCCGCAGCCTCCGAGACGACTGCACCCAGGACGGCAGCCGGCGCCCTCCGCTGCTGCCGTCTGCGTTCGCGGCGGAGCTGGAGTCGAAGAGCTTCACCAACGGCAAGGACGACAAGCCGCTGGTGAAGCGGCTGTACGAGGCCGCGTTCAAGGAGCAGTTTGGCAAGGCGACCGTGCTGTGGTACAGCGGCCTCGGCTGGGGCGACGCGGAGGCGGCGCAGCTGGCGGAGGTCCTCGCGAGCGGGGCAGCGCCGCGGCTCGAGAAGCTCGGTCTCGGCGGCAACAAGATTGGCGACGAGGGCTGCAAGGCGCTGGCCGCCGCCCTCAAGGAGGGGGCAGCGCCGCGGCTCGAGGAGCTCTATCTCTTCTGCAACGAGATTGGCGACGAGGGCTGCAAGGCGCTGGCCGCCGCCCTCAAGGAGGGGGCCGCCCCGAGCTTGAAGGCGCGAGACGCCACCCCTCGCCACACGCCCCTCCCCCACCCAATGCTGATCGCACCTCCCCTCGCGTGCAGGAGCTCCGCGTGGACAACAAGAACAGGGAGCAGCCTGAGCTGGTGGCCGTGTGCGAGGAGCGCGGCATCTACCTCAGCCGCTGAGCTCTCCAGCCCCGGCCGGGCGGCGAGGGCGCGGGGCCCGGCGGGACCGCCGCGCGAGCTCGGCAGAGAGCGACAGACCCTGCTGCTGCGGAGCACGACGTACAGGGGCGGTGCCGGGCGCGCGCGGCTGCGGGTTTGGTGGGCGGGCGGGCGGGTGGGTGTTGTGAGGAGGAGGAGGAGGAGAGGGGGGGGGGGGGGGGGGGGTTTAGCCCCCAAGGTGGAGGGGGGGGGGGGGGAAAGGAAAAGGGGGAAGGGAGGGGGGTTGGCATGGCGGGGGAGCGGTGCAGCTGCTGCTCAGAGGGGGGGAGAGAGGGCGGTTGCAGCCTGACGCAGGAGCGGAGCGGTGCCGGTGGAGGGAGCGGTGTCCAGAGTCCAGTTCGCGTAATTTAGTCCTGGAGACCGGCGCGCCGCGGCATCTCATTTTGCGTTACGACATACGAGCTTGCAAGTGTGGTGTGTGCGTCGCCTGCTGTGGATCTGGATGTGGTTTGGACTTTGGTTGTTGAGCTTTTTTATACCTGAATCGGGGATTGCTGTCTTCTTCCAGCGCCTTCGATGATTGTTATGAAACAAACGCAAGGCGGACACAAGCACATCGCTCTCTCGGTCCCACAGAGCATCCCGCACAGGCCCGCACACCCGCCGCACACCCGCCGCCCGCCGCCCCCGCGCGCGCCGGGAGAGACGGGAGTGACAGTTTGGGACGGCGACAGACGAGATACCTCGCACTCCCCATGTGCGAGAACGCAGAGAGAAAATGAAAGCGCCGTCCGGCCCCCAAGTCCGGCTCCGCCCCGAGCTGACCGATCTAAAGACTTGGTCTTGGAGCACTTGGATAGGGGGTGCACAGCGTCCCAATCTAAAATCTGAGGATTCAGGATTGAGGCATCGCTTCAGTGAGGCCAAAGTGAGTTTATGGATGTGTGAGAACGGTACGGGACACGAGGAGTCACGCGGACCGACTCGTCGGCGACTCTGCTGCACGCCGTTTCAGATTTTTCTCAGCGTGAGCGAGACGTGGAAGAGTGCCACCGTCGGGTAGGACGGGTCGGCCCGGAGCATCTGAGTAGCCGTCGTGGTCGCGGCGAGCAGCGCCGGCCACTCCGGCGCCGCGTCGGCAACATGGGAGCATGTCCACCGCCACATCGCGGTCGCAGCGCTGTTTGTCGACCAAACGCCGCTATGTACCTTTTCGGGCAAACCATCGATCTGTATGTCGATTTCGACTTGACGGCGGCATGGAGGCATCATGTCTCCATGCCGCCGTCAAGTTGGAGCCAGTCAGCGGCGACCACAGCGCTCAGAAAGGTACATAGCGAGCTATTCAGAGTCAAGCGATTGCGCGAAATCCCACACTGGTGGATTTTGGGGCGCTGTGCACCCCCTTGAGCACTTGAGCACTGGATAGGGCCGATTCCGCGTGGTACGGGACCCCTCGATCGTCTCGCCCTCCCTCACTGGTGTGTTCATTGGGGGGGGTCATAACAAACACGGTACAGGATCGAGGTGCACGCTGCCGAAGCAGTGTCTCCCCCCTCTCCCCAACGGCGATGGCGGT